ACACACACACACACACACACACACACACACACACAACGAAACCCCCGGATTGGTCTAGGCCCCGGATATTACGACGCAATAAGGTTTAGTATAATAAATGTCAATATTAAAAAAAAAATCTAATATAAAAAACAACAACTTTTAATTTTCGATGGAAATAAAGTCGATATTCGGGTGTCAGCGAATATGTTGTAGAAAATGGACATTTTGGCCTAATATAAGTGTGAGAAGGGAGGGAAAGTAAACGAATACCCACTCAGGGCTCAACTAAACCAGAATCCATTAATGGCGTTGCTTAATAAACCCTTTCAATATCATTCTCTGGCCGGTTTGGACCAGTTCAATAGTCCCATGTAAACAATGGTGCAGGTAAATTTTAATAAATTATACCAGAGAGTTTACAGCAATATTACTGTAAACCCTCTATGATTATACCAACGCCCCACTACTTCCGGGCACCTGTCTCCTGGGTTTGTCTCCCTTTAATTTGGCATCTAGGTAATGCTTATGGTCGATGGTGGTAACCCCCACGTAAACATCATCGCTCTCTCTGCTCTCTTTTCTCTATTCAGTCTCTCAACTCTCACTCTCGGGTTGCGTGGTTGTGTTCATCTTGGCCCTAGGCCTAATCTACCTCCTGGACATTGCCTGCCGCCTTGGCCCTACCTTGTAGGCTAGTGATCTAGATCTAGGAGTTCTAGGAGTGACGAAATCCTCAGTATCCTGTTACAGTACCTGTTTTGTGCTGTGCCGTGTACTGTCGTGTGTTGTCTGTGAAGACTGAATTTATTCCTTTACAAGTATGGCTGAAGAAGTCTCGCAACAGGTAAAATTATCTTTCGGCTCTAGATTTCTAGACTCTAGACTAGACTAGAATTAAAGGATAATAACGCCGGGAAGTAGTTTGGTGCTTTTTCGGTAGTTCCCACCCCCCTTATTTGAGCCTGACCTACATCTAGATTCTAGATCTAGATAAGATATCTAGATCTAATCTAGATCTTACGTTTGATTCGCGGTGAGCTAAGATATCAAACCTAACAACTGCAAAATATTAAATTATGGTAAAATTCAGGGGGGCAAACCCCCCTTCCTATTTTTTATTGGGTCAGGGGGGCAAGCCACCCTGAAACCCCCCTACTCTTGTGGCCCAAACCCGTTAATAAAATTGCGGGGTGGGAACTACCGAAAAAGCGCCAGTAGGGCCTAACATTACTACTAACAACTGGTTGAATACTTGAATTCGGGATGCGGAGGGGGGGTAAAAGTTTTAAAACCTGGGACAGCACGCTTGACAAGTGGACGTGGTAAATTGTTCAATTGATTTCTTCCTTTTGGTACCCTGCGTTTCCTCTCAGGTCATTTTGGGGAAAGGCACTAATGACTTGTGTCGGGCAGCGGGATGGAAGACGTAGCTTGTCTTATAAGTGTATAAGAGGCCATGGAGGTACCAAAGATCGTGTATACCTGATACAGTAGAGAATCTCTAGAGGTTCCGCATGGAATGACATGTTGGGTCAGTGGCTTCTTGACGTATTAAATATGTATCGATGTGTTTCGCACAAAAAAATTTCACAGTTGAGGCTAACTGCAGCACGTCAGCCATGCTCTTGTGATGGAAGATCGCTTTTTAAAGATCGTTGGTGCTCCGAACCTTAAGAACGCTAATGCTTGAAATTGAAACGCTGTAGACGCAAAGACAACAAAATAAGAAAGTGGCTATCCTCGCCCGGGGTGAGAATAAAAATACGATCGACCTCTCACCCCGGGTGAGACTTGCCAGCGTTTGCTATTCTCACCCGATGTGAAACAAGACCTGTTTTTCCTAATTTCGGAATCGAAGTGTATACAGACCCGGTAACCGGGAACAAAGTCACGAAGTATACAGACCCGGTAGGACCCGGTAGGGGAACTCTTTTGTGATTTCGGGAAGTTTCAGCGCCGAGACCGGTAGAAATCTAGAGAGTGTGTGCGTGAGTGTGTGTGTGTGTGTGTGAGAGAGAGAGAGAGAGAGATAGACAGGAGAGAGAGAGAGAGGTGCTAGCAAAATGTGACATGCCCCAGTTGGCAGGAGGGAACGAGAGAAAGATAGAGTGGGAAATAGGTGGGGACAAAGAAATACAGAGACAAACAAAGAAAAAGAGAAGGCGAGCGATACACAGAGAGAGAGAGAGAGAGGAGGGGGCAGAGAAATAGAGAGGGTGACTGCTCGATTGAAATTATGACATTGTTCTTTACTTCAAATCGTGATTCCTCCAACTCCAAAACGGAGGAAAAACGATCGTTCATCGAAAAGACATCCGCAATCTTCATTTAGATCTAGATCTAGGCTAGCCGCGAAACTAGATCAAAGATTTATGTCTGCCTAGATCTAGATCTAGACCATAGATCTAGAAGAACCTAGGTCTACCCTGAGCCAAGAGGGCGCTGAAACTCTTCGAAATCACAAAAGAGTTCCCCTACCGGGTCTGTATACTTTGTGACTTTGTTCCCGGTTACCGGGTCTGTATACACTCCCTTTCGGAATACTGTCTATCGGTGTGGATGATCAAATTGATAAAAAAGGAAAGAAAAAATGACGTTATAATTGCACAAAAGTAAGCTAATTTGATCGTCTACAAAGATGCTGGCTACTTCACTTTTTGAATCGAGCCGAACTACGCACGTCTCCATCTTGTTTTGCCCGCAAGTTCTCGCAAGATCTACTCCTCCCTTCTCTGTCTCTCCATGTCTCTTTCTGAAAACTGTCTATCGGTGTGGACGATCAAATTGACAAAAACAAAGTTAAATGATGAACGTTAAAACACAAAAGAAATTAATTTGGTAGTCAACAAAGATGCTACGGCTATTTAACTTTTCTAATCGAGCCAAACTACTCGGGTCGCCATTTTGTTGAACTTGTCCAAGATGACCGCCCATTGTTGAGGCAAAAATGGTAATCTATTAGGGGGTGCCTACTAGAGGGTCGGTTCGGTTTCTGGAGGCTTCCGTGCACACTATAAATGGACCCCTACCTCAAACTGATCGCCCAACTTACGGCCTGGAAATCAAACGCATTTGTTCTTGAAGGTCCTCGTCGGTTACGTTCGGTTATGTCATGATGGTAGATTACTCCCTCCCTGGGGGGAAATCCTAGCTAGTTAAGCTAGCCCTGATGACCAAACCGAACCAAACAGCAATCTTGCCCATGGGCACCGGTTATGACAGAACCAAACCGTTCCTCAAATTAAGGGCATTGCCTATTAGCATGGGTCTCAATATTCCGCTACCGCTATTTCCTTTGTTTGACTCTGCTAGGAGGGGCACCTTCCAGTAATGCGCCACCACTTTCTGTACATGATAACAAGATTGTAAATATTTGGTAAGTGACTCTTTTACTTGAAATTATCTTCCAAACCCTCAAATTGGTACCTTGCTTTGATAAATTGATGGTTTTTATTTCAGCAGTCAAGGGTTAAACAGTATGATAATACTGGGTGTCTTGCGAAAATAGTCTTCTGTCGCGATCATGCGGAAAGTTCCTCCTTTCTTATCATTCTAAGTTGAGACCCATGATTAGGCAAAAATGGTCCTTTTGGACAATGAACAAGTCCTTTTAAAAAATGCAATGAGAAGAAAAATTATGTTCTGGAAGGAGGAGCTGTCTTCAAGGTAGTTCTTCAAAATTAGACTAGCATTAGAGCAGGTTTGAAATTATGTCTTTCCTTTACAGAGTTATTTTAGTCTGATAGTTGCTTGCATCTAGGCAATTACAGTAGCATGAGGCATGCCATTTTGACGTGTGTATACCCACATACACACATTAATCATTGTTCTCATGTGTCTAAAGATCTACACTTTATTCAATTGCTCCTCCCCTTTACGTGTCTAAAATTTATAGCTTTCCATCTCTGACTGAGTTCCCCAGTCTTTGTTGTTACAACGCATTACATTGTGTTTTGACCACACCAATTGAAATTCAGTCTGTCAGAGAAGAGTTCACAGTTCGATGTGACCTTGCCTGGAAGCGAACCTGTAGGCCCTACCCACCCAGTGTGTGATGTAAGTTTAGGTAGAGAGCTCAGAGATGTGAGTGCAATGTTGAGTAGCAAAAACAAACGCGTTGGTGAGTTCACACCTCTGTGTGATCCCATCTAGGACAAACTGTGTGCCTTTTCAACGAGATTTACAACAGGGACATCATCACATCCACAAAAATGGCTGATTTAATCTGTTCAATAATTGCAGATTTTTACTCTTGGTTGATATGAAGTGCCTGGCAGGGATTTTTTTTTTTAGTAAACTATGAATAAAATGCAGGGTCTTAGGGGTGACTTTGGGATCTTAAGTGAATCAGGATTGTAAGCAGTGGGATCTTAGGGGGAGACTACTGTAATTTGCAACAAGTATACTATAAGCTAAAGCTTGTGTGAAACAGATATTTAAGATTTTTATAAGAAAAGTGCTTTCACAATACCTGATCATAAGATGGAGGGAAATTAGACTAGTACTGTCTAATCTGGCTTGGGAAAGTGGACGCCTGTGTGTATAAATTTCGGGTGGAAGCTGCTCTTCCTGTTGGTAGATATGAGCAGAGGTTTGGGAACATCAACCATCTGTTGTTGAAATATAATTTTAGGTTTGAGATTTGATTCAACCTTTAAGGTTTTATTGGATTAAAATTTTCCTTATTTAGAGGAATATAAGTTGGACTTGTGAGGTAACCAGCCACCTGCCCAAGACAATCACCTGTACAAATGATCACTTCCCCCTTGTGTTAAAAAAATATATATAATGACACTGTCCAAGGTGTGGTCTTGTCTAAAACAACCATTTTTCTCCTTGACAATGGTTGGCCATTTTGGACAATTTCAACTGTAAAATGGATGTCAAGAGTAAGTAAAAGTGACTAGTCACTTTTGTGTGCATGTGGGAAGGGGGAGGTAAATTTAAAGTTTAGAGTTTACCGTGGGTAAAAGTTTGGCGGCTGTGGACGAAAATTCTGTCAAGAGAAAGCCAGCCCGCATCATGGTGCCGGCTTGTCCTTGACTTGACTAGCGTTGATCTCGTGAAGCACAGGTTTCTTTTTGTTTACCTGACAACTGTCTTTTAAAAAAGTCTGACTTTTTATCTCCGCTTCTCGAGTTCGAGCATAAATCGACAGCTCGGGGGTGATTCGATTATCTTTTCAGGCAAAACCCCTTGAGGTGCTGTGAGTTTGAGTTTTCCGGCAATTTGGTTGTGACCAACTTTTACCCATGAACTACTACTGTGATGAGACTATTCGTACAAGAATTCTCATGGCTTTACAATGCTCAGTCCTTGAGCCAGTATCTTATAGTAGATTAAAATTGTTGAATTGTAGATTTTTATGAGTAAAGGGTTGGGGATTTTATTGTTTTGTACGTTTTCAATTCGTTTTCACAGGCTTCAAGGCAGAAATGTCCTTTGAATGCCAAAAGCTCTCTGCTCATTTTCAAATCTAAAGTGTAAACCCCACCCACCACCCGCGGCCAGACTCTCACACACGTAGGCCAACACCCGCCCCTCCCTTTCACTGATTGAGCTGGACTGAAACCATCCGTTTCTATTGTTTTTTTCCTGCAGAATGGCTGCCTGGAAAATCCATTGTATGACCCTGAAATACTGTACAGACTGGACCCTAGCAAGTTCAAAGGTGAATACTCCGAGGGTTTGTCACCTTTGAAGCCTGGAGGGACTCTACGTACACGACCTCTCTGTTTAGACGATTACGAGAAAGGTGAGAAATAAAGATGAGATGTACATTTTCTTCACCCGTTCTATTTGTTGTTGAGTATTTATGTGCCAAACTTTTGTGTTAAGATTAAATATTGAGACTTTCTGTGGAGTATGAGTTCCCTTAACTAATTATGAAATCTTTGCTGGAATTTCTGGGAATAAATTGCCTGCTTTTTGAGGAATTCTCTACTTCATACTTCATGCTCATGCATACTGCCCGGTTGTTAAAAATATTCCCAATCAAAATTAAATGAAAAGATGAAAGAAAAATGTAACTTTGTACATTGTGATAATTTGTACTATGATAATGGTCATCACTCTTGAACAGCAGTGGATTGTTCTCTTGAAGTTAATTGCTGTTTGGAGAGAGATGTCAACCTTTGGTTGTTGTTTTTTGTGGGCTCTACAGACATACACCAATAAATGAAACAATGTAACCTTCTTGAATTCTTCACTTCCGTCATGTTAAAAAATGTTGGCCCTTTTTTTTTTATTGATCACTTACTTTTTCAGTTTTCAAAAATGATGTGATGTGATAATGATAGATTTTGTAACCTTAATGTGTAGAATGTGGCTTGGAAATGGAAAGTTTGTTTCATTAAAGGATACAACTTTTGTGTGTTGTTATTGTAACAACTAACTAAATTCAGATAAAATAACTTCCTAGGAGGAGCCTATATGTTCCACCTTCCCTCCACTGCCCGCAGAAACACACACACACACACACACACACACACACACACACACACACACACACACA